GTCTCGAACCCACGGGCTCAGGCAATTCACTCACCTCAGCCTCCCAAAGCGCGGGATTACAGGCTGAGCCACTGAGCCCGGCTCCAATTTGCCTGATTTTAAAACCAGAAACTATTCATTCTTCAATGGTGGTAACTAGTCACAGATTAACTTGATTAGTATGTTGTAAACAAAACTATAAGAACAACTTTATTTTCCTATTTTTGTACTAATCTTTGAACAAAATCTTCCAATTTACTATTGTACAAAAAGACAATAATGAGCAACTATATCTGATTCATTTCATCTTTTTTTCTTCTGTGACACTTAGTTTCTCTTATCAGAAAGGTCAATACCAAAAACTACTGATTCTTGAAGTATTACTGCAAGTTTATAAGCAATAATCTCCAGTACATTGAAAAGACAAAATTGAAATAAATATCACGTTAGCAAAAGGTCTGGCTACTGATCCATATCCAAGTGTATTGAGTAGATTACATCTCAAAAATATAACAAATATTTGGAAGTGGAGATGGTGACATTTCAAATTTGGAGAGCAGGTTTAAAATGGAAGACTCTAGGACATATATCTGTGTATGCTTATTGTCCTAGGAAGGATTTTTTTTTTAATCATCTCCAAGTCCTCAAACTTTACAAGCAAAATCATATAGAATACTCTAGGTCATTATGCCAGTTTATATGGTTTCACTCAAATCACAGAGAAGCCATATTTCAGAGTTGCACAAGGCTGAACTTTAACCAGAAATGACTATTCCATAAGCTGCTGAGAGAGAAGAGCTCCCCCTAGCCTGCATTCTGCATCATCTTCATTGCTGGAAGAGGAGGAGGAAACTTGAGGGTTTTAGTGTGGAAGCACAAGTTCATAGTCATGCTCCTGGGTGGAGGAAGGAGGCCTGGTAACAGAAGTCCTAAGAAGGGCATATTCAGTTTCTTCTCTAAACTGTCTCACTCTCCTTGTGGTGGAGTCAATGTTCTCATAACCATTATCGTTGGAGTTCAGGGAGGGCCTCCGATGGGGGATGTAATTAATGACAGTGTAGCACACTTCTTCAGAGCCACTGCCATTCTCAATTTCCTGCCAAGCACAAAGAGAAAAGAAATCGAGGACCAGAGTCATCATCCAATGGATCTCAATGCCCAACCCTCCTTTCTTGTTTCTGCACACCTGATGGGGCTCTTACAGCTCAAGTATCCAAAGCCCTTGTTCCAAGCCCTAGTGTCTTAGAAACCTCATTTTAGCCACATAAATTGTGCTTCAAGCCACTACTCATTCTGATTTCATTTCACTTTGAACAATAAAAGAGAAAAGAAGCATTTTATTATCCCTAGATAAAAGTATGTAGAGAAAAGCAGTTGTATACCTCAGGTCACACATATTGAGACAAAAAGCATACAACAATCAATCCTCAAAAAGTAATGAATTAAGCCATACAATGACAAAATTTTATAAGAGAAAATAAAATACTAATAAGAAAATTGAGTTTAAGCACATTTTCAGTTGCATAGACTGCAAAGGAAAGAAAAAATCAGAATGTTAATATACACTAATAAAGTCAATAAAATTCTTGTGATGCAATATTAAAAGGAATAAACATTTTTTCCACATTTTTTTTATTTCCATCATGTTTTTAAACATAAATGTTAATTTCTGGACATAAGGATTGGAAAGGAATGTGGAAAGCTAAAATAATTAATGCTTTGTGGTGACCTGTAAGTACATTTATTTGATTTCATCTAGTTTTTGTTATAATAGCTTTGAAAGCTAAAATAATAGACTTCAGCAGAACTGAAGCCAAAACAATAAAAACTTGCTAATCATCTAAATCAGTTAAAACACTTTTTAACTTTTTATTTCATTCCATTTCTGCATTAAAATTACCAGCTAAATTATTTAGAATATAAAAGATTCATGTAAATACATTCAGTAGTTGCAAATAAAGGAAGATGAATGCTCCTCAAATAAAATCATCTGCATCTTGACATTTATCAGACAAATGTAATGAAAGTTCATTCAGCTTTTTTATTTTATTTTTCAGTTACCTGATTAAAAGTAGATGATACTTCTTGATCTGGAAGATAAAAAATAAATAAAAGGAAAGCAAAGTGAGATTTTTGGACTGTCACAGGTTGGAGGGAGAAATAAAAAGGATAGAATTAATAATAAAACTGCAAAGAGGCTCATTAACTACACATCTGACATTATTCCATTGTATAATGGAGGTTCTCAAGACTGAATGAGAAGATCAAGGAAGAACATATGTTCTCAGGCAACATATTCCTGGTTAGATGAATAATGTCAAGTCTAGTGAATAATGTGGATTTTGGAATTGGGTAATAAAATATTGTTCTAAACATGCTATGTCAATGAAATTTGACAAATACAAAGAAAGAATTAACACAGCTGCAAATTTAAGAGATAAATTTCATATGAGTTATCACAAAAATTATATAATCTTAAAAAAATGATCAATCGCTATACAAATAGGTACATAAATAACAACAGCAATTAATTATTTCAAATTTCTTACAAATATACGTATGCAAGTTGATTTTATCTGCAATACTGAAGCAATTTATATACGTTGTATATATGTCTATATATACCATTTATATATAAACAAGCTAGAATTAAGGAGGTCGCAGAATGTTAAATATGGCAACTATCCTCTATAAGAAGAAACTTTATTGTGAAATCTGCAATCTAATAAGCTTGATAGTAATTCTTAGTAAGATCTTAAACTATATTAAACAAATTAAATAATTTCTGTAAAACTAAATAAATTATTTATTTTATTAATCAATATTTTTTATTTTGGTATTGTGGGGTACAGTTAAGGGTTAGGTACACAAATATGTTTCATTCAGGCACCCTTGTTGATAAGGGGTGTCTCCCCAACCCCAGACAGATATTTACTACCTCTCCCCCCCATAGTTTCCCACCACTGTCAATTATTTTCTTATAGTATTACGATAGATGTTCAAGGTCCACTGTATGAGTAAGAACATGTGATACTCAGATCTTTGTTTCTGTGAGTGGTCACAGTATTGTAGACTCTAGTTCCATCCAGGTTGCTGCGAAATTCATGATTTTGTTCTTTTTTATGGCTGCGTAGTATTCCATCGTGTATATGTACCACATTTTTTTAATCCAGTCCTCTTTTGATGGACAGCATGATTGCTTCCAGGTTCTTGCTATTGTGAACAATGCTGCGATAAACATACATATGCAGGTATCTTTTTCATAGAGTGATTTGAGTTCTTCAGGGTATATTCCCAGTAGGGAGATTGCGGGGTCATATGGGAGGTCGATATTTAGAGCTTTTGGGAATCACCACACTGTTTTCCACAGAGGTTGCACTAGTTTACACTCCCACCAACAGTGTATAAGTGTTCCCTTTACACCACACTCTCTCCAGCAACTGTTATTTTTTGAGTTATTGATAATTGCCATTCTGACTGGAGTTAGGTGGTATCTCAGTGTGGTTTTGAATTGCATCTCCTTGATAATAATTTCTAATAGCTAACCATTCTTCACAAAAAAAAAATCATACTCAATACATTGACTTCAAATATGGAATGCTACATACATCCATACTGTTATGGTTTGGATGTTGCCCCTCCAAATCTCAGGTTGAAATGTGATCCCCAGTGTTGAAGGTGGGACCTCGTGGGAGGTGTTTGGGTCATGGAGGTGGATCTATCATGAATGTCTTGGTGCCATCCTCATAAGAATGAGTGGGTTATTTCTCTATTAGTTCATGTGAGAGTTGATTGTTTAAGAGTCTGGTGCCTCCCTTCTCTCTCTTGCTTCTGTTCTCATCATGAGACTCGCCACCTGGTGGGATTTTTCTCAGCTCTCTGACATTTTCTCCTCTTTGTCCCTCTTCCACCTTTTAAGAGCTCTTGTAATTACATTGTGCTCATGTGGAAAATCCAGGACTCTCTCCCCACCTCAGTACCCTTAACTTAATTACACAGGCAAAGTCCCTTTTGTTACATAATTCACTCACAGGCTCTGGAGATTCAAATTTGGATATCTTTGGGGGCTTTAATCTGTCTACCACACTTGTATTCCTTGTTATTTAAAAAAAAACAGAAAAACATCTAAATATATAGGAATATGCAAATATTAAAGTGACTATGTTAATATAGTTTGCTAAAATGGCGAAGAAGACTCTTTTCTCCAAGTCCATGAAATACACATTAGTGATCATTAAATTGTTTTCTGTAAAACAAATGTACCTTTTTTTAAATATAAAATTTGGTAACTCTACTATAATTTGGAAAACATTAGTAGCCTATAATTTTTTTTCTGCAATTTAGCCCAGTAATTGTGACTGAACTGTAACAGCTGATTCCAGGAATGAATAAATGCAATAAATTCCCAAAGAGATGAGAGTCCGGTTTGGTTTAGAAGTTGAGCAGATACCATTGACATTTTAAAAAGTGCCACAATTGGTTCACAACTCACATGAAAGGTTTTTAAAGTTTACCTGTGGTCACCTGAATTGAAGAGCTCAGCCCAAATCACTGCTCCAACAGACCATTAAGGAAAAGGTAAAGAATATAAAGTCCAAGCCGGGCTCGGTGGCTCAGCCTGTAATCCCGCGCCTTTGGGAGGCTGAGGTGAGTGGATTGCCTGAGCCCGTGGGTTCGAGACCCGCCTGGGCAGCGAGGCCTCATCTCTACAATAAATCAAAAAATCAGTTGGGTGTGGTAGCGTATGCCTGTAATTCCGGCTACTTGGAAGGCTGAGGCGGAAGGATCGCCGGAGCCCAGCAGGTCAAAGCTGTGGTGACCGGGAGCAGCCATTGCACTCCAGTCTGGGTGACAGAGTGAGACTCCAACTCAAAAAAAAAATAATAATAATATAAAATCTGAGTTATGATCTAGTTGCTTCCAGAGCATATAAACAAAGGACATGATGCAATCATGACTTTAAATTTGTGGTCCAAGAACCGACCAAGGAAATTACCCAGAAAAAAATCTCCTTTGTATCTTAACTCACTAATCAGCATACAGGGACAAATAGTTTGTCCTATATCTGATTCATAGTGGATTGAAAAGGTACGTAAAAGCCTGTGATTTTCACCAGGATTTGAAAGCATAGGTAAAATGGATAGGCTGACCAACTTTCAGCATTATCATAGTGATTCTTCTAACTTACTCTATTGGCATAGTCCAAATAGAGTCAAACAAACTGACTAGAAGTAATACAGCTTTCCTACAGAAATCATAAAATTATTTATTTGAATACTGAGAAGATGCCAAGGTGGTGATTTGTATTACGTCCCCATGTAATTTCCCTTTTTGGCCTGTGTAAAGAATGGCAGGTCTAAGACATGTTCACAAATTTAATAAGATGATAACTTCAACAGCATCTACTGTTGCCACTGAGGTCTTTTGACTGAACTAAAGCAGCACAATGCCCATCATCAAATACACATTTACTTTCATGTGGAGGGAGGGACACCAGCACTGCTGCACTGGTATATCTCAGATCTTCCTCGATTTCTATCTTTTGGTCAAATTCTACTTGGCAGGAAAACTGATCATGTTTTATATCCATAGAACATAATAATGGTCTACTGGGTCGGCATGGTGGTTTATACCTATTATCCCAGCTCTTTGGAAGGTAGAGGCAAGAGATTGCCTGAGCCCAAGGCTTTGAGACCAACTTGGGCAATACCTCATCTCTACAATAAATCAAAAACTTAGCCAGGCATAGTGGTGCACACTTGTAGTTCCAGCTACTTGGAAGGCCAGAGCAGAAGGATCACCTGAGCTCAGTAGGTCAAAGTTGTGGTAGCTGTGAGTGTGCCACTGTACTCCAGCCTGGGTGACTGAGACTCCAATCCAAAAATAATAATAATAATAATAATAATAATAGTCTTACTGCATGGAGGACATAAGGCTGATAGATCCTGGTAAACAGGAAGGAGGCAGTACCCCAGGTGACTTTAAACCCATAGGTATGCCAAAAGAAAATTAAGGAACCTGCACCTCCATGAAGAGTTTAAAAGTCTGAATTATTTCAAGATAAGCCCATCAAATCAATTCCCATCTCTTCTCTCTACAAAAGCAGCACATTGCTTGGTGGATCTCTTAGAATTTGGGTAAGCCCTACCACTTGAGGTTGGGCCCAGAGTGAGAAACTAGCTTGTAAAAGGATTAACAAAATCTGATTACATTTAAAAAATAAATAAAATGAATGAACTATAGTACAATTGACTAATAAAATAATAGGTGGAAAGTACAAGTATGAGTAAGTACACATGCATGCACATACAGAAACAGAGTTAGCAGTGAGCAAGGGGGCATCACAACAGATCCTGAAACATTAAACACTTATGAGGATATGGTGAATAATTTTAGGACTTTGAAATTTTAATTTAAAAGACAAACTTTATGAGAAATGCAACTTGCAAAGATGACAAAATAAAATAGTCTATAACTACAGAGGCATTTGCATCTATATGTAACAACTGTTATTCATAATAAATGTCATTCTTCCAAGCGGCTTTGCAAAAAACAGTCTACCGAAGTTTGGAAGAAAAAAGATCAATCACATATGAACACTTCACAAGAGTAGGAAAATTCCAAGAATGGATCCCTAAGGTGCACCATTATTTTATATTATACCCAAGAAAGTGTAGTGTCAGAGAGTAGCAGACAGGTGGCCAGTGACTGAGGATCCAAAAGGCAGAATGTGGTGACAAACAAATCAAGAAAGCAACATTTTCAGGAGGGTTTGGTTAACTGCTTCCCACAGAAGTTTATTAAGTGTTGCTCAAAATAAATCATACACAAATATTACTTTAATACAAAGAATAATATAATCAGTTTATGACAGTTTAATGACTCTAAACAGTACCTTTTCGTTTTGTCTATTAAAAATAATGTCAAGAGAATGTCTTATCACTTGGAGGTTTACATTTATACCTCCCTTGTATTATGGAGATATTATGAAGTACTGACTTACTTTTCTTATCTTGACTTTGATTATTTCTTTCCAATGCAGTCACTTCCTGCCTGCAAGGAGAGAGATAGTAATATGAGATACTCCAGGTTCTCTGAAACAGAAAATACACTTCAAGGAAGCATTTGACTGCCCTTCTCCTAAAGTCATTGTCAGATTCATGAAGTAAATGCCAAATACAGTTAAAAGCCTGCTTACTCTTGCTTTTCCTGAAAAACCACAAAAATATAGGAAGACAATGATAAGTGGAGAATAAAGTTCCAGACTTCATAAGCTAAGTAATTACTAGATTATCAGAACATGTATATTGTCACATGTGTGGGAAACACATGCATAATACAGTGGAATTTAGAACAATTTGAGGGAGAAGATTGAACGTCTTACATTTTATTTTTATGCTGTTCTTGATGAAGCATATAAATCCTTAAAGGTAAATAGGATTTGACACATTCTACCTACAAATATACAGTAACAGACATCAATAGGTATGAGCCAGTGATGAGAAAAACAGAGATGATCTCTAGCTATAAATCCACACCACAACAGACAGGGTTAAAGGAGTGATGGGGTTGCCAACACATCACCTTTTATTTCTCTGTTTACTGGTCTTCTAAATTTAATGGTAAACATGCAGATGTCAAAGGATACAACCTGTAATGACCGGCCCAATATACCAATACTCACAGAACAGACACATCAGTACACATACACACGGAACAGAGATGTGTCCAGGCAGAGGGAAGAAAATATTTGGCAAGGAGATAGTCTAAAACAACATAGTAAAATCAAAGTCTGGATCTTAGCTTATTTCTCTTCTGCTCCCTCCTTAATCACACACAAACACACAAACACACACACACACACACACACGTGCATGCACATACACACACTATTTTATCCGACAACAAAGTTGCAAAGATAAACTACACACAAAAATACAAAAGAAGCAGAAACAAAATTTCAAAGGCAGAGAATATCTGCTCATTACTGTTAATAATGATTGTTAATAATTTATAGACCACTCTTGACAAATGTGACTTCATCTGAGATAAAGACTCCATCTAACATTTCAAAAGACATTATATCAATAGGCTCCAGATGCTCCCCTAATCAACAGGGCCAACACCCAACCAAATAAGAGCTTAACCCTCTATTATTGGTCCTCAACAGAGGACTCAAGGGCCATCAAAAGAGCAGAATATCACCAGCTAGACCCTGTTTTGCTGTCACTTGTGATCAGTACTGAAGGCTCAGCCCACATCAAGGACTCCTTCTTGCAAAACGCTCCCATCTGTCCACATCATCCCAGGATACTCTACTTGTTCATATCACTCTCCTGGGACCGGTTTGCTAACCCCTTTTCCTACCTCTTTTTCTCTTGATGTTAAATGTTACCCTGTTTGATATGGAAATTTTAATCAACAACACTTATATATTGCTTAAGTATACTACTATGGGTAGTTTGTTGTGTGGACTGACTCATGGAGGGACTTGAGCCTGTGTGCCCACAGCTCTGACTACCGAATAAACAGGTACTAAGTGCTAAGGAAAATCACCTCCTTGGGGACTCCATGTAGTTGATGGCTTTCTTGATTGAAATAGCATCAATAAAATCCGACCTGTGGAAAGTTCTAAATGTTCATGGACCTGGTTATGTCTGACCCTGCACCACTCACAACAATAACAATAAATGAAGAAAGAAAGTGGGCTGCCCTAAATCAGGAAAACAACTGAAGAGAATAATGAAGTATTTAGATAAATTAAAACAACATTAAAGGAGGAAGAGGGAATAAAAAGAAGTTTAACGGGTACAAAAATACAGTTAGCTAGAAGGAATAAGTTCTAGTACTGGATAGTACAGCAGAGAAATTATAGTTAATAATTTATTGTGTATTTCAAAATAGCTAGAAGAGAAGAATTTTAATCATCCCAACACAAAAAGAGAAAAATATTTGAAGTGATGGAAAGCCTAATTATCCTGATTTAATCATTGCACATTATATACATGTATCAAAATATCAAATGTATCCTTATATATACAAGTATGACATAGAAATTAAAAGCATCAATAAGTAAAATCAATTTTTCTAAAAATAGCTGTGGTGTATAAAGCATGCTTGAAGAGAAAATTAAATGGCAAAAAATTAGGGGGGAGAATAATTAGAAAAAGGATGATGATTACTAAAAATGAAGGCCTAATACACACATACTTACTACACCTAGAAATGAGAACCAAACAAATGAAACAAAGATGTAATGAGAGAATAAAGACCTGAACTTGAAAATTGATTTTACAGGGGAAAAAAACAAATCATGGCAGCTGTGTGAGGTGATAGATATATAATTATTCAAGTGCTTAATTGTGGTAATCACTTCAAAATGAATAAATCTATCAAAACATCACACTGTATACTTTAAATATATACAATTTTTATTTGTTAATCATATCTCAAGAAAACTGGAGAAAAGTTTTAAAGACATATGTGTAGAAGACAAAAATTACATAATTCTAGAGGAGAAAAAAGAATACATAATGAGTCTGTGAATCCATGAGAAAAATACACATGAAACCAAGTCATCAGTGAAGGGGCCCAAAGTGGCCCCAAATCCACAGCTGGAATGGAGATATGTCCACAAAGTTGTGAGGAGAAAAACATAATTGAGAATTACATTACTCTCCAAAGACAGGAAATATATTGCCCAAAATTTTAGTACAAAGAGAATATAAAACCTATGAGCTCTTTAAGAAAAAACAAAACAGGGTAGGCACAGTGGCTCATGCTTGTAATCCCAGCACATTGGGAGACCAATGTGAAATGACTGCTTGAGCACAGAAGCTCAAGACCAGCCTTGGCAACTTATCAAGACCTCATCTCTACAGAAAGTCAAAAAACTAGCAAGGCATAGTGGCACATGCCTTTGAAGTGATGGAAAGCCAAGTCTCAGCTACTTGGGAGGCTGAAGCAGGAGAATCACCTGAGCCCAGGAGATCAAGACTGCAGTGAGCCATAATCATGCCAATGCACTCCAGCCTGGGTGAGTTAGAACTTGACTCAAAAATAAAGATTAAAAAACAAAACAAACATTACTGCACAACCACATTTGAACATTGTAAAATGCAAGGTCATTTCACAAAGAAGTTGGTGACTGAAGAATTCAGCTGCTCTGTTGTTCTGAGGGTTAATGACCAAACTCTGACCTTTTTTCTGTATCTTGCCAAATTCCAAGCTAAGAGTTCTGGAGAGACAGGCTTTTTTTTTAACCATTTAATGTAGCTTACTTTCCAATTTAACTCTGGCATAACATCACATAACAGATAAAGAAGAAAAATCAAATGTTTTATGATACCGTAAAACTGCCTTTTGAAGACTTGAGCACCTTTTAAGACACTTACCGGCTCTCTCTGAAGACTGCCACCATGCATAAAGCTTCATCTACATATCAAGAATCTTGGCTCCCTTATCATTCCTTAAGCTATACCTTTTCTTTACTACTTTCAAAATTCCTTAGCTGTCCAGCCTTCCTGGACCAAACTAATGTAAATCTCATATGTATTGATTTATGATTTCTTGTAACTTCTGTCCTCCCAAATTGTATATAACCAAGCTACAATTCAACAACGGTGGGCACACATTCTCATTACCTCCTGAGGACAGCATCACAGGCCTAGCTGCTCACATTTGGCTCCGAATAACATTTTACAGTGTTTGGCATCTTCCATAAACAGGGTATAGCCACAAAATCCAAACCTGTCTAAGTTCAGGCTGTGAATTATTGGCACCTACAGCTGGTTGTCCACTGTGACTTAAATACAGTAGAACAACTCAGCATCCTGTAGCCAGTGGTAACCTCCAGACAGTGGTAGTAATTCCATAATTTCTAGGAACCTCCTTGGATTTTCTTGACCTGTGGTATAGACTAAATTGTGTTCCACTCAAACACAATGAAGTGGATCTCAGGATGTGACTGTATTTGGAGATAGGATATTTACAGAGGTAATAAAATTAGCATAAGGTCATATGAGTGGGAGGCTTTAACCCAATATAACTAATGAAAATTGGAGCCGACAATACTAAAGAAACAGGAATTCATTCTATCCTCCTCGTCTGAGAGGGAGCTGCCTGCCACCTTCCCAAGTGCCTTTGATCTCCCACCACAGGGACTTCCTCACGCTTGGGAAAATATATTTTAACACACCACCCTCCACTTATTTCAGAAGAGGAGCTGGCCAGGAGGTGGCATAATAAAGATAAAACCCACAAACACCTACTAACACTGTCATGAATGGTGACACATCAAAAAAACTAGAATCAATACTGTAAACCAAAAATAAAGTCCTAAGCTCCCCACTGACTGAATGAACCCCCTCATGGACAAGGAAACCCCAGAGAAACCTGAAAAATTGAGTTCCCAGAAACAACAGGAAAGGAGGTGGAACACATCTCCCTTTCGGATTTTAGACACAACAACTGACCATTTTGAAGGTTAAAATACAGATCATAAGACTGACAGGAGAGATTCTGTGACAATAAGATACCAGATTACAAATAGGAGCTAAGTCCATGCCAGACAAGGATTAAGTCACACCCTATAAACCATAAAATCTTGTTAAACTTTATTAAACTGGTATAATGTGGCTTGATTTCCACACTGACTCTGTTATAGTCTCACATGACAAACAGATCCTGAAGCCAATAAAAATGTTTTACACCAAAATATATGTATTTGAAATATTTTGAAATGGTCCTGCAAAGCTGTCTTTTGGGGGGGGCAGTGGGAGGGGGAATTTGCATCCATAGAGAATATTCATCAATGCAGCCAAGCCTAGGTGAGATTAACTGAGAGTCGGAACTTAACTTTTAATGTCTAAGTAAGAGACATTTGCAGTCTATTCTCTCTGAAGGTTGCCATCTATGAGGCTTCATTCACATAATAGGGGCCTTGGCCCCTACAACACTTTGTCCTAACTCATGCATTCATTTCTATTGACTTCAAGTCTTTAGGCAGTTGCTTAACTCTCTCGACCAACTGTCAACTAAAGAATCCCTAAAACCTACCTATAACTTGTAAGTCCCCACTTTAAGAAACCCACCATTCTGGGCCTAAAAAATGTATACCTTCCAAGTATATGATTTATGATTTTATCTGCAGTTCCTGTTCTCCTGAAATGTATCAAACCGAACTGTAAACCCACTGCCTTGGGACGACTAATGCAAGGCTTCTTGGGCTTGTGTTTTCTCCAGACCACAGTCACTCATATTGCCTCAGAATAAATTCTTTAAAATATTTTGCAGTTTGGTTTTTTCATTAAAAATATGAAGCAAAGAAACATGAAAAGCAACTCAAACCAAATGGATTAATTTATCTCAGTTGATAAAAAGTAGTAAAAATAACAACAGAGAATATCTGAAATACACAACTAATAACATTTCTCTAACAGACAAATTTCAGAATTATGACCATTGAACAAAAGGTTACATTATATATTTTCAAAATTTGTGAGTATAATAAACATAATGCTAGCTGATATTTATTGGTGAAAATAAGCTTAAACTCAATTTTGTTATTAGGACTTTATTTATCTTATAAGAATTTGTCATTATATGGCTTAATTGATTACTTATTGAAGCTTGATGTTGCATGCATTTTGTCTCAATATGTGTGCTAATTTAACAGGCATTTATTATTTCCACAACTACAACCTAAATTTGTAGTATTTTGAGACTATTTCACGTATTTGAAAAACCCAAATTTTGAAAATGTGAGTAACTTGCCTCAAAGTTGATATATATGACAAAGAAGACTTCAATAAAATTCACAAAGCAGAAATAACACCGATCACACGTATACTGATAACAATGAAATAAAATTAAAATTGTTCCTTAGAATATATAAAGCAATATTTGGAATTAAAAACTCAAATTCAAAAAGAAATTAAAAGCAAAGTTGCAAAATATTTTACAATAATAGCAGTTCCTTAATGATATATAGGATACAGATAGAATATTATTTAGAGGAAAGTTTATATTCTTATCTGCTCCCACTTCTACACAAGAACAAATGAGACAAAAATTACGTTTTGAACTCTTCTTTTAATGGCACATAGGATATAGATAAAATATTATTTAGAAGGAAGTTTATATTTTTATATGCTCCCATTCCTAAACAAAAAAAAATTTTGAGAAAAACAATTAAGTTTTGAACTCAAAACAATTAGAATAGCAACAATTAAAGAAAACTAAGAAAAGCAAAAATAAGAATTTAATAAAGATAAAAGCAATGACACTATGACATCCTGGAAAAAAAGTAAAACAGCAATCGGATGAGCAATTGCCAGGGGTTGAAAGGAATGGAAGGGGAAATGGAAATACTCCGTATCTTGATTGTGGTGGTTCCATGACCATGCATGTTTTTTCTAAGCTTATCAAACTGTATATATATGAAGGGTGAATTTTATCATATTATACCTCTATGAGTCTAAATTTTAAAAGATAAGTGACTTGAAAGAGCTCATACTGTCCTTTCTATAAATATGCTTAAAGTTATGAATTACATAAATAATAATCTGGGAAAATATAATAACCAAAATTGATTCAGGAAGATGTAGAAAATCCAACTTTATTAAAAAGGCATTATCCTGTAAAATTAGCCCATGTAAAACATATATATTTGACTACAATTGACCAGAAGAGTCAGACAGCTCAGATTTTCCTCATCATGCTAACTGGTTGAAATTCCATGAGTCTTGCACATAAAACTTCCTTGTATAGGAACACCCTAAAGACATTATTTCCTTCATTTAGTTATTGCCTCCTTGTAATAAAGACTTGCTAGTGTTTGAAAATGTTAACACCTCAGTTCCTTTAACAGAAAAATGTTAGAGACTAACATCTAGTACAGATCTCATTTTAGACATGAAGAAACAAAAGCCTAGTTTAAATGCCTCATTTTTGCCTAAATTGATGCCTGAATTAAAAGTACATCTTAAATGGCACTATACAGAACTGATTTGTGACAGCCAGAGAAGAGAACCTTAGCTCAATAGTGTCACCAGAACTTTGCTGTCTCCTCTGCGGCTCTAGACCATAAAAGGGGGTGGCAGAGTCACAGGACAGGCAAATTCACTCCGCTGTCCCTGAGGGACACACCAAATCAACTCTTTCCTTTTGCAGAGAAAGTGCCAGTGAAACATTTGGGAGATGGCTGACACCTGCAAACATGATATCATATCACTAACAAACACCGGGGCCTTCCCTTCAATCCTCCACCCCTTTACACTAGGTAAAAAGGGACCATCTTAGAGACAGAAACCAAGCCCTTGAGATGAAATGATTAGAAAAGAGGTTGTATGCAAAGATATGACAAGCCCATGGTTAACAAACAAGGCAGGGCGTTTCTGCTCATCTAAGCTGTGGTAAGATATCAGTATCTAGAGATCTGCTGTTATTCCACTCTTTTTTTTTCTTTTTTCCATTGAGTGTCTTGTAAAAGTTGGGCAACAGATGTACACTAGCAAGTCAAGCAGACATGGAGTGCCTAGAAAAACATGTGGTCTACAAAGAGAGATGGACTATCAAAAGCTAAGACAACACCTAGAGCTACAAGTTGAGATAAAGTCCCCAGCAAATAAAAGTAGGGTATAGAACCAGAAACCTGTGGGGTCCACAAGTCAGGTTCCTCTACAGTCCTGTCAGGCAGGTCTTTCAGAGGAGGGCATGAGAGTCAGCATCTCCAGGAGGAGGGGCAGTCAATCAGTTTAAACATGGAAAATCTTTTAAAAGATTGTGCAGTGGCAGAGTAGCACATACCAATGCCAGGCAGTGAAGACTGAGCTTGGTGGCTTGGAGACCATGAAATTAAAGCAGAATACCTGGAAGGTAGTGGGTGAAGGCAGACAGTGAGAAATGAAAAGAGGTATGCAGGAGTCAGCCCTTACAGGATTATAGGCCCTGTTGGAGAGCTTGGATTTTATTCTGGATGGAATGGAGAACCACTGGACAGTTTCCAGCAAGGAAAAGGCATGATGAGCCTTATGTTTTCCAAAGACTTGTTCTGGCTGCTCATGAGGAACAGTCTGGAAGTGTCACCATAGCAAATAGACAACCGAAAATGAACATCCTTTAACTCTATGTTCCTACATTTGCTTTGCTTTGCATATCCAATAAAAAACAAAACATAACAAGGGTACCTGTATAATAAACATTTGTATACCTAACCCTGAATTGCACCCACATCTTTAAAATAATTTTTTAAAAAAGAAACAAAACATGTGCACTAATACCAGTCTCTCTGATTTAGATAGAGTCACCATGTAGCCTGCTGCCAAGTCAGAAGTAATCACCAAAGAACTCGATGACGGTGACTTCTCATGGGGCAGAGAGTCTGGAAATAAATCTAGAGGAAAAATGCTCTGTTCTTACCATTTTCTGTCTGCATCAGGATTTACCTTCCTGAGCTTCTTTTGATTATCTCCCAGGCAACTATATGGAAACACATAGAAAAAAGAGAGATTGTTACTGCCCATATATGGAAACACATAGATAAAAGAGAGATTGTCTGTTTGTTTATTTATTTATTTATTTATTTTTAGTTGGAGTCTCACTTCATCGCCCAGACTGGAGTGCAGTGGCACGCTCCCAGCCACCGCAGCCTCACCCTCCTGGGCTCCAGCGATCCTTCCGCTTCAGCCTTCCAAGTAACTGGAACTACAGGCGTGCACTACCACACCCGGCTAATTTTTTTGATTTATTATAGAGATGAGGTCTCGCCAAGTTGCCCAGGTGGGTCTCAAATCTGCAGCCTAAGGCAATTCACTCGCCTCAGCCTCCCAAAGCGCAGGATTACAGGCTGAGCCACTGAACCCGGCCTATTTATTAACTTTAAAAGGAGGCAAACATTTTTCATGAGGGCACACATTCAACTCTGAGCACAATTATATCATTTTTTTCTCCATTGACTGTCCACAAACCTGAACCCTCCTCATCCTAAACTTTGATGGCCCTTCTCCACCTATGGACCCTTAAGCTCTTTAAGAAATAGGAATTTAATAAAAGACTAAATGGAGAAGTCAAGGGACAGTAAGATGGCCTGAACAATCAGGAGTAGAGAAGACAATCTGCCATTTCCTAAAGAGACTTCTCTGCCTAAGGTTGGATGATCAATGCATCAGCAATGCAGACAGAAATGGCTTAAAGGGTCAAGTGATTTTAGGCAGTGAGAGAAGTACAGAGATTAAAGTGGAAAGGGCTCAGGACAACCAACTGTAGGTTGCAGAGTGGTCACCTGGTGATCCAGCCCCTCTCCTTGAGCTTTTGTCCCCCCACCTTCCCCGTCCCACTACACACCATTCTCAGACCTCACTTGGGGCTTTACCTATGGTCCCTATGCATAGACGCTAATCCCACAGACCTTTGCCAAACCTACTCATTCTCATTATTCAGGTCTTTCCTCAGAGGTCAGATCTCCATGGCATCAGACACACACACCTGCAGCCACACTCCAAGCCCTCCCTCTGCTATGTTTTATGGATAGTACTCATCACAATCAGAATTGTATAATTTATATAATTATTTGTTTACACCTTCTCCCTATTAGAATAAGCTCTATGAGGTAGAATCCTTCCATCTTGTCCTCAATTGTATCTGTGGTGCAATTGAATGAAGTTCCTAATAAGCCAAATAATTCCATGTGTGGTTCATTGAAACGAAATATGCTATACCTTGAGAATCTGAAAACAAAGTCTGCCTCAGAGAACTGAACTAGTTAAATAATAGCTGTCACTAGTAAATCACCTACTGGGTTTCTGCTGATATTTATGCATTATTTCACTTAATCTTCACAACTAAACCTAGGATCTAGCAATATTCTTATTCTCACTGTAGGCACAGGATATTGAGCCAGGGAGACAAAGTAACTTGTCCAGGATTACAAGTACAGGACCAAGACCAAACACACATAATGTGGTTCTGAAGACCAAGTCCTTAACTACTGTTCTAGATGCTGTTGCAGGTAACATCATATGAAGTTTGGAACCATCATTAGACCTATGCGCCCCTGCTTCAGGAAGATCACTCTGCAGTAAGAGAAAGCCTGGGTGAACAGGCAGGACTTAGTCTCTGGCATAGATGATAAGTCCCAAAAGCTGGCACCTGATGGTACGCATGCAGCACTGTCCTGGGAGCAGAATTGCTAAGTACATGGAGATGCTAAAGGAAGTCAGGCCACTGGTTAGTCAGTGAATGCTGAGTTGGTCCCTCAGCTGTCTGTGTGTTGAAGATGCTGTGTCTAAAACATTTTGCAACCTTGTCTGCATGGAGGTTTTCTTCTAACAGAAAGAGACATACATTAAAGCATACACAATTAATAAATGCAAGTGGATAAGCTTATAGAAGAATGGTAATGAGATAGTTGCAGTTTTGCTGGACTAGAAATAATTAATCTGGCTTCACGATCTCTTAGGTGAACTATTCATCAGAACAAATCTCAAGTGTTCTCACCACACACACACAAAATGACAACTACATGAGGTGATGGGTATGTTAATCAGCTTGATTGTGGGACATTTCACAACGTATACAGTATCAGCACATCATGTTATACTCCCTAAATATATACAAGTTTTGTCAGTCATACCTCAATAAAGCTGGAAAAAAGTATCTAATATTTTTTAAGAAAACCATCTCCCACCTTTTCCTCTGACTGATCACTAAGCAATGCTGCCAACCAGCCTTCCCAACTTTGCTAAAACATGTGGTGCTGCAGACAGAAATCAGTCATATTTTACTTGCTGGGAATAATTTGTCTTCCATGACCAAATAATAAATGTAGCCAAGTATATGGTCTACTTAATAATTAAAGTTTCTTTTTGTTTGTTTGTTTTCGTTGGAGTCTCACTCTGTCACCTAGGGTGGAGTGCAGGGGCACGATCATGGCTACCGCAGCTTCAACCTACTGGTGGCAATCCTTCCACCTCAGCTTCCCAAGTAGCTGGAACTACCATAGGCATGTACCACATACCAGCTAATTTTTTGATTTATTGTAGAGACAAGGTCTTGCTATGTTTCCCAGGCTGGTCTTGAACTCCTGGGCTCAGGCAGTCCTCTTGTCTCTTCTTCCCAAAGTGCTGGGACTATGCTGCACCAGGCCTAGGATCCTGTGAACTCCTTAATACTGCCCCCGTCAGGTAGAAGACCTGAGATTATTTTCAGCTACTGTCACTGGGGCAAGTGGTATACTTTGCTGAGCCCTGAGAATTCCTTGTGTCTTACTGGCCCTGGCTGCCTTGAGGTGTGTGGACATGAAGAATGGAGAAAAGATCCTGGGCTATGGAGTCTTTCTGGGTCTTATTTTCTTATTTTACAACACAGTTGAAGTGAGTCTTCATCCTCTTGCTACTTCAACTTTTATAAGGTAGAGCAATTCATGGTTGTTCCCAATGTGACTGACAACCCTATAGAAATGTGGTCACAGATATAAGTGGGAATGTTTAAGAATCAAAGAAGAACGATTTGTATTCCTCCAGGTATATTCCTAGAAGGAGAATTGCCAGATCATATGGAAGATCAACTTCTAGTTCCTTTAGATATTGCCACACTATTTTCCATAGAGTTTGGACTAGGTTTGCACTCCCACCAACAGTGTAGAAGTGTCCCCTTTTCTCCACATTCATGCCAACATCTATCATTTTTAAATTTATTAATGATGGCCATCCTTACTGGGATAAGGTGATATCTCAGTGTGGTTTTGATTTGCATTTCTCTGATGATTAGTGAGGCTGAGGATTTTTTCATGTATCTGTTGGCTGCTCATATGTCTTCTTTTGAGATATGTCTATTCATGTCGTCGGCCCATTTTTTAATAGGGCTATTTGGTTTTTTTTCCTTTTGACTCATTCAAGTTTCTTGTAGATACTGCATATTAGGCCTTTATCATATACACAATTAGAAAATATTTTTTTCCATTCTGTGGATTGCCACACTATTAACAATAGCAAAGACATGGAACCAATATTCATGTCCAGAAGCAGACTGGATAAAGAAAATGTGGTACATATACATGATAGAATATTACATAGCCATAAAGAAGGACAATATCATGGACTTAGCAAGTTGGATGGAATTGGAGACAGTCATTCTTAGCAATCTATCATAGAAACAAAGAACCAAATACTCATAAGTGGGGCCAGAACATTAATTACAAAAGCACAAGGGAGGGATGGGTAGTCACAGGACACTGCCAGGAAAGAGAGGAAGGGAGGAAACGTAACAACACAAAGAGTACCTGAACCTAAACAAGGGACAGTGAGGACCAGTTAGTTGGAGGACCAAACTTCACCTGCACATTCATTACTTGAGTACATAATCCTGACTTGTACCCCACATCATTATAATGCAATAAAGTAAAAAAAAAAAAAATCAATGCAGAGGGAGAGAGCTAAAAATTGAAAGCTCCTTTAAGTTTCAGTACCCAAAGCCTTAAGTTTTATCCTCTGCTTTCCCAGATTTCTGTGAGAATTACATGTGCTCCTTTCAAGTCAGTCAAGAAACGTTTCTCAAAAGCCTTCTGCCAACCGGGCTCGGTGGCTCCGCCTGTAATCCCAGCACTTTGGGAGGCTGAGGGGAGTGAATTGCCTGAGCCCGCAGGTTCGAGACTCACCCAGGCAACTTGGAGAGACCTTGTCTCTACAATAAATCAAAAAATTAGCCGGGCGTGGTAACATGTGCCTGTAGTTCTGGCTACTTGGAAGGCTGAGGTGGAAGGATCACCGGAACCCAGCAGGTTGAGACTGCGGTGACCAGGAGTGTGCCACTGCACTCTAGTCTGGGTGACAGACTAGGCTCCAGTCTGGGATCCCTCAAAAAAAAAAAGCCTTCTGTCTACAGAGCATTAGCAAGGATTTCAGGTATTTCAAAGACTATAAAATGCAGTGTTTTGTGGCCAGAGAATCCTAATGTGAAATATTTATGCACATGACACTCATGAACAGTCATGAAACTAAGTAGACAATGTTTAGGATCATTAATGTGGTTGAACTATTTACAAGTCATAGAAAACTGAAAAACTGATTTCTGACAGCAATTGGGAAGATGTAGCATTTAACCAGGACATTGCACAATGAATATTGTGACAAGTGAATGCGGTTGGAAATGAACTTAGGAGCAAGAGGTATGTTAGCCAAGGCACACAGTCTTGAAATTAGAATATTAGTTGTGGTCAGATTGATGATGGTATAAAGACCATACCACATAATTATGGCAGATAGGTCAGAAAAGCATATTTAATTAAACTAAGTACACATTTATGCTAAGCTCTAGAGGCACAGGTGCCTTTGAGAGACTCACTATTAGGTGTTGGAGACATGATTAGATGCTGGGTGCTAAGCAAGTTAGTGGAGGCCACGTCCAAAGCGATAAGAGAACTATAAGAAAGTAATTAAGGCAGAATAGGTAGAACTTTATGGGCCAAAATGAGTCAACTGCACTTCAGATGTTAGCTAGTGGGGAATGAATGTATCCACTAGAGCATGGGAGTAATGATGGATGAGACTTTTTCCTTGGGCAGATCTGTCTCGTCATGTTATGTTTAAGATCTTCTGTGAGGAACTTGGGAGTGTGCACAGGGGAGTGCCATGCAAGTTATCTGAGATTAAGCAAGATGTGAGAATAATATCTGCTATCTTTACCTGTTCTACAATATACAAAGCATTTGAAAAGTGTGAGGCTAAAAATCACCCCAAACAGACGCAACTAAAATTAAAAGCATTTGAGTGTATATTCTGCATCCATAATTTTCAAGAACCTGACTGTTCATTCTCATACCAACCCATAAAGCTGATGAATTGGAAGTTGAGCCCCACACCCAGATGAGGAAAAAAAGAAGCAGAAAGACTCGTGTAATAGTAGTCTAGGGCTGCCAGATAAAACACAGGATATACAGTTAAGTTTCAAATAAACAATGAATAACTTTTTGGTATAAGTATGAACTATACAATAATGCCCAAAAAGATTGCATGAGGCATACTTATCCTAAAAAAAGGATTTGTTTATCTGAAATTCAGATTTGACTTGATATCTAGTCATTTTATTTTCAACCACAGTTCCAAAGTCAGGCAGGAGAAGAAGTAAGCTGGGAGTCATGTGCTCTTAAAGGGTGCTGTCCTCAGCTTCTACCACCTCAAAGCACAATCTGCCTCCCGAGAGAAATATATACACACAGCCTCCTTGCCCCTGTTCTCTTTCTCCCGCGAAAAACAGCGCCCACAGTAAGGACTCACCTGAGTTTTCTCAGGAGGTAATTCCCCATCCTCTCACAGCGACTCAGTTTCTCAGCTTCTGAGTCTCAGTCGGCTTGGGGAAGTCCTGACCAAAGCACCAGCAGGCAAGTGCACAAGGCAGGACGTTGCATCTGACCACTGGCTTGTGCTCCTGCCAACCATGAGCTGCCAGGGAACTGGGCATGACAGAGAAGGCAGGAAGAGTTCTGACTGGAAGGGAAAATGAAAGGTGTGATAATGTGTGTGTGCATGCGCACATGTGTGTATAGCGTAGAAAAAAAATCAGGCTGAAATGTGAGACAGTAAATCTAATACTTCAGGTTCACTTTGCTTTCAAGGAAGTTCCAGTGCTGCAAGACTAGACAAGGTAGGGCCTATCCTATTCCTCAAAAATCTGGTATCTCAAGACCCCCAATATGCTGTCTTCTTCCAAACACACAGAGAGAACTCTTTTTTTTAATATATATTTCTTTACAGTGGTTTTTTTTAATTTTTAATTTTAAAGATGTGGGGTACAATTCAGGGTTAGGCATATAAATATTCATATCAGGAATCCTTGTTGATGAGGTATGCCCCCCACCCCTGCAGTTTCCAACTACTGCCAATCCCACCACCCTCCCTTCCCTGGCAGTTTCCCACTACTGCCAATCCCTTTATAGTATTACGATGATTGGAGAACTCTTCTTAAGAGAAAAAAAAAACAGGGCTGAGCATGATGGCTCGAAGGCCAAGTCGAGAATTGCTTGAGCCCAGAAGTTCAAGACCAGCCTGGGCAACATAGCAAGACCTCATTTCTATTAAAAAAAAAAAAAAAAAAGAAATTAGTCAAGTGTGATGGTGCACACCTGTAGTCCCAGCTATTTTGGAGGCTGAGAAGAAAGGATGGCCAAGCCCAGGAGGTCGAGGCTGTGGTGAGCTGTGACTATACCACTGCAATCCAGCCTGGCAACAGAGTGAGACCCCCAACTCAAAAAAAAAAAAAAAAAAAAAGAGAGAGAGGGAGAAAAGAAAAAAACTAAGCTAGAAATAAAAGTTCTCTTTATGACTCTGGCCGTGATAACCAAATCAAATATCAATGTTTTTTTTTTAGAGATCTGAAATTTCTAGAAAAGATGAGAAAAGAAAGAAAAAATGTATAAGAACAGAAGGTTACTGAAATTATTTGAGATAGGTTAAGAAGCAGTTGTTCTGGTTGTCAACTGAAAGACCAACATGGCAATGGGGAAGGATGCAGGATCCGACAGACCCACTCGGCCATCTAGTCCCCACTTCCTCCCCTCCACCGCCTAGAAGAGCCACAAAGCACAAGCTGCTTCTAGTGATAATTTCGAGGCCACAGTAACAGCGGTAAGAGATTAGCTAGCAGCTGACTCTGAGCTGTTGTTGTCAAGAGAGTGAAGTCGCTTATTCAGTGTTTCCTGCCTGAGGATGTGTGCCAAAGGTGGTCGTTTCTTTTCAGTTTTCAACCGACGTGAAATCTGTTTGCTGGATAGATATGTTCATCTATTTCAACTCTTTTTCCCCCCCAAGGAAATCAAGACTGAAGAATTTTAAGTGACTGCTGACCAGCAGCAGAACTCAGGGGTCTGAAGTACTTTATAAATATTTGTAAGTTTTGTACTATTTATTTATCAGTGATAACCATAGGCAAAACATATTGGAAGCAGGAGTGTTACCTGCACCCCTTCAGGTTTATGATTTACTTACTTCATATTTGACAACCTGTGTACAAAGCACTGCTGCTCAAACTTTCACATGTGTGTGAGGATTCTGCTAAAATTCAGACCTTGATTCCATGGAACTGGGGCAATATTCCACTTTTCTAGCAAGCTCCCAGGTGAGTAGCAAGGCGTTAAGCCGGGTGTTCTGCAATTGTGGTCCCTGACCAGCAGTGGGGGTGTCACTGAGAACTTGCTAGAAATGCAAATTCTCAAGCCCCCGCCCCCCACATCTGCTGAATCAGAAACTCTGGGGAGTGGAGCCTTTCTGTTGCGGCTAAAATGTGAGCGCTACTGAAATAAGCCCTTCTCTTATTCTGAGAACTCACAAATAAACTTATCAATCCTCAAATGCTTAACTAAGCAGGTCCGTGTTGGTGTCCCAGGCAGAATAACAGAGATGTGGCAACACAACGGTCTCTGACTCATTCAGCATCTCTAACTCCTCTCGTGTCCCACACTAGCATAAACTGATCTGGAGAAGAATAAGACTCTAACTGATGGCTAATTTCAGAATCAATGAGTCTCCTGGACACACAGTCTTCATCTGTAGAATGGAGAGGATATAAGTGAAAGTGAGTTTTAGTAAACTGTGATGTATCCTGTTGTGAGGGTGGCTCTGTTGACTGAGCACAACAGACATGCACAACATTCAACTCCATTTGACTCTCAGTACCATGTAGGAGAGCGAGACTCTTGTCCTTGCAGACGTAATGCCCAGCTCATCCACCTGATGCAGTCATTTCTAACCTCTACATGAATCTTTTCCACTGATACTCCCTATTTGTCTGCCCTTCTGTTTGGTCTCTTCACTTGACTTCCTGCCTACCAACACGTAAAAGTTTCTGTATGAAAAAGACACAAAATACTTTTTACTTTGCCTGATAACCAAGAACTATTCTCACTTTGTACTATTAGTATCAGACTTTTAATGATATGTGTTTTTCTGCTTATTAAATTATTATAGACCTGGCATAAAACTCCAGAAAGTACAAATAAGAAAAAATAAAAACATTTTAAAAACCCAGAATCTTACTACCCAAAGGCACCCTCTTGTGCATTTAGATTCATACTTTTGCAGTCTTTCTTTGTGAACATTGACATGTACCCAATGGTTTAAAATTTTCCAAAATTAGGATTATCCTTTACATAAATGTCTTTCCATGTCATTAAATACATTTGCAAATACCATTTTTTCTTCTTTTCCAGCTTTATCGTGGTACAATTGGTATACTAAAAACACAATCTAATTAATGTATACAATTTGGTGAGCATGCATATATTTGTATTAGCATCACCACAATTGAGGTAATAAATATATTTATCCTCTCCACTTCCAACAGTTTTCTGTAGCTGTTTTTTGGGGTTTTTTGTTTTTTTTTTGTTTGTTTGTTTGTTTTTTTTTAATAATTAATCAGTATTTTTATTATAGTTTTGTGGGGTACAGTTAAGGGTTAGGTGTACAATTATGTTTCATTCAGACACCCTGTTGATAAGAGGTGTTTTCCCAGCCCCAGACAGATATTTGCTACTGTTAATCCCATCTCCCTCCCCCCCATAGTTTCCTAGTACCGTCAGTCATTTTCTTATAGTATTACATTGGATGTTCAAGGTCCATTATATGAGTGAGAACATGTGATATTCTGATCTTTGTTTCTGTGTGAGGTCACTCAGTATTATAGACTCTAGTTCCATCCAGGTTGCTGCGAAATTCATGATTTTGTTCTTTTTTATGGCTGCGTAGTATTCCATCGTGTATATGTACCACATTTTTTTAATCCAGTCCTCTTTTGATGGGCAGCATGGTTGTTTCCAGGTTCTTGCTATTGTGAACAACGCTGCGATAAACATACGTGTGCAGGTATCTTTTTTATAGAGTGATTTGTGTTCTTCAGGGTATATTCCCAGTAGGGGGATTGCAGGGTCATATGGAAGGTCAATTTTTAGAGCTTTTAGGAATCGCCACACTGCTTCCACAGAGGTTGCACTAGTTTACACTCCCACCAGCAGTGTAGAAGTGTTCCCTTTTCACCACACCCTCTCCAGCAGCTGTTATTTTTTGAGTTGTTGATAATTGCCAGCTGACTGGAGTTAGGTGGTATCTCAGTGTGGTTTTGATTTGCATCTCCCTGATGATTAGTGAGGTTGAGCATTTCTTCATGTGTTTGTTGGCTTCTCGAATGTCTTCTTTTGTGAAGTGTCTGTTCATATCTTTTGCCCATTTTATAATGGAGTTGTTTGTTTTCTTCTTTTCAGTACGTTTCAGTTCCTTGTAGATCCAGGATGTTAAGCCTTTGTCAGACCTAGAGTTGGCAAAGACTTTTTCCCAGTCTGTAGGCTGTCTCCTGCTCTCTTGATGGTTTCTTTGGCTTTGCAGAAGCTTGTCAGTTTAATAAGGTCCCATTTGTCTATCTTCTCTCTTAAGTCCTGTGGGTTTCGGGTTTTGTCCAGGAATTGGATGCCAGTTCCGATTTCCATGAGAGTATTTCCTTCCTTTTCTAAGGTTCTTATGCTTTGAGGTTTTACATTTAGGTCTCTGATCCATTTGGAGTTAACCTTTGTGCATGGGGATAGATAGGGGTCCTGTTTCAATCTTCTGCATGTGGTCAACCAGTTTTCCCAGCACCATTTACTGAATAGGTTCTCTTCTCCCCACTGGTAGGTGGTGGGGGCTTTGTCGAAGATGAGTTGGTTGAGGAATTGAGGTTTTGCTTCTGGAATCTCAATTCTGTTCCATTGATCTATATACCTGTTCCTGTACCAATACCAAGCTGTTTTGATGATTGTAGCTTTATAGTAAAGTTTGAAGTCTGGTATTGTGATACCACCTGCTTTGTTTTTTTTGCTGAGGATTGTTCTGGCTATTCTTGGACGTTTGTGTTTCCATATGAATTCCTGTGTTGTTTTTTCTAGGTCTGAGAAGAATGTTGTTGGTAATTTAATGGGTATTGCATTGAATTTGTAGATTGCCTTAGGTAAGATGGACATCTTCACAATGTTGATTCTTCCGATCCATGAGCATGGGATATTTTTCCACTTGTTCATGTCGGCTTTGATTTCTTTGAGCAGTGTTTTGTAATTTTCATTATAAAGGTCTTTCACGTCTCTGGTTAGGAAGATGCCAAGGTATTTCATTTTTTTTGTGGCTATTGTGAATGGAATTGTGTTTTTTATTTGGGTTTCTGTTTGTTTATTATTGGTGTAGAGAAATGCGATTGTCTTTTGTACATTTATTTTGTATCCTGAGACTTTGCCAAAGGCCTTTATCAATGTAAGGAGGCCTTTGACAGATTCTCTTGGGTTTTCGAGGTACACCATCATATCATCTGCATAGAGAGATAACTTGACTGCCTGTTTTCCTATTTGAATACCTCTGATTGCCTCCTCTTCTCTGATTGCTCTAGCCAGG